CATCGCGCGTGGGTGGTTGCCACCATCCGCCATAATTTCGCGGCTCCCCTCAGCCAGCTTTTGATGGAATATTCCCAGGTATCTGGTTATCCTCAGCCATCTTCGCTCACAAACCAAACGAGTGGTATCCCCTCTAAAACTGGCTATCCCTATTCCCTGGATGGTTATCCTTTGAACCAAACGCCACCTACTTCCGATGAAATAAAGCTGATGACCAACAAAGTCACCAAAGCCGACGGCACGCCAAATTCTGAATTCAACATCGCAGCGGAAGATGATCTCCAGCCATCGCAAGGTGTAACCATGGTAAGGATACCACGCTGTTCCCTCTAATTTTTAGTTTTTTACAGACAAAGGAAGACATCAGAAAGTCAGTGTACGTGATGACTTTAGCACAGCACGCATACTGCTTCCACCGTTGCTTGGTTGTACACTTACTTTGAGTTTGCTTCGCTCGTGAATCGTGATCACCTCATGGCAGGATCACGAGTTTCCCAGCATTTGTGATGACCCGGAGCCGGAGGATGCACCGATACCTGATCAGCGAGACGAATCAGCGGAACCACACAAGCCATGGAGGTTCATCCCGGTGCCCGAAGGCCACGTCTTTGTGCCGGAATGCGTCGGCGATGAGCTCATAGTGCACATCCGGCCGTCCTCGCAAAGTGGCTCCGAGCACAGCGCCACCGTTGACGCCGACCAACAGCTCCCCTTCACCTGCGGACATCCGGAGGCGGGAACGCCGTCCTTTTACGACGGCGGTCCTTACCGCGCGCTGTTCTGGTCGCTGCCCGAGCTTGACGACCAAGGCCCAAAAAACGTCTTGCCGTTACCATGGTCGCGGTTGGAGATGTGGGGCAGGCTGACGGCGGCGGCGCTGGATGGGACTTGGGCCGTAAACCCCCCGATTATACACGAACATGCGTTACCTGAGTCCGTGACGCTCTCCACCGACGTGGTGATGTTCTACCGGCCGGACCCGGAGGCTGGGGGAACGAATGTGATGATTGCTGCAACCGAGGATGTGGAGCATGTGTATAGCATGGAGGAACATGGTACCCCGGCGGTGACCGCTCTCACGCCGCACTCTATTCTTCCCACGTATTCTGGTCTTCCCTAGGAGATGCATCTTTTGTCTCAACCATTTATGATCAATAGGAGCTATATATATATACTTGGTGCCGTTTGATGTTTTTGAAAAAAAACTCATCGAACTTGAAAAAGGTTCATCGAAATTGAAAAAGTTCATCAACTATTTTAAAAAAACTTTTATTTTAGAAAAGTTCATGAATTTAAGAAAATAAACAGGAACCAAAAATGAAAAGAAAAAAAAGGAACACATAGGACATTTCCTATATGTATAGAAATATAATAAAGGAAGTCGCTATACCCAAGCGCCGTGATGGTGTAGTGGTTAGCGCAAATAACTTGCAGCGAGGAGGTTGTGGGTTTCATCCCTGACGCGGTGACGCCCCCACTGCCGGGAGCTCCTAGGTGGCGCTTTAGGCGCCAGCTAAGGGAGCTGGCGCTCACAGCCGCCAAATCGTGGGCCGGCCCATGTGGCGACCACGGCTAAACTTGCCTCGCCTGGTTGCTCGCTGGATCGAGAGCCTCGAGGGCTGTTCGTACGGTCACGGTTGACCAGTTGACTGACTGGTCAACCGTTGACTTTAGAAAAAAGATGAAAACGAAAAATGAAAAATATCATAAAAAAAGAAAAAAAATCGAGATTTCAAAAAAGTTTACAGATTTGGAGACCTTCATTCATTTTTTCAGATCATCAAATTTGAAAAAAGTTCATCAAATTGGGAAAGAGTTCATCGATTTTGAAATAAGTTCACCGAATTTTAAAAAAGCTCATCCATTTTGAAAAAAGTTCATCGATTTTGAAAAACAGTTCATCAATTTTGAAAAAGAGTTCATCCATTTTGAAAAAAAGTTCACGGATTGTGAAAAGATTTCATTGGTTTTGAAAAAGAGTTCATCAATTTTGAAATAAGTTCACCGAATTTAAAAGAACGTTCATTGATTTTGAAAAACAGTTCATCGATTTTGAAAAAGAGTTCATCAATTTTGAAAAAAGAGTTCATTAATTTAGAAAAAAAGTTCATCAATTTAGAAAAAAAGTTCATCGATCTTGAAAAAGAGTTTATCGATTGTGAAAGAAAGTTCACCGATTTTTTTTAAATAGTTCTTTCAAATTAGCAAAAAAAAATATAAAACCGTTCCGAAAAGAAGAAAAAAAAACATAACAAAACCATTTCGAATAAAAAGGAAAAAGAATAGGAAAAAGGAATCGTTGTAAGAAGAAAAGGTGAAGAAGCAGTAGTTTGGGTAACTAATACGAGTTAGTGCGGTGGTTAGTGCATGAGGCTAACGACTGTCAGGTCGCGGGATCGATTCCCGTCCAAAGTGTGCATTTTTTGTCCTCACGACAGGAAGGAAAGGAAAAAGATGGGCCAGGCCCAGTTACCGCGGCTGCAGGCGCCGGTTTGCGGAAACAGCTATAACCGGCGCCTGCAGCGCTAAATAGGAAATGCCCCCACTGCCACACCTTTTTTCAGTTTTACAAAACAGAAAAAGTAAAATGGGCCGGCCCAGAGCTGAGGTGTAGCATGCGCCAGTTTGCAGAATGAACTGCAATAGAAGATATTGGAATATTCTATTTGACGCTTACTGCGACAAACTATCATTGAAACGCACAAGGAACAGGTGTGGGTTCGATCCCTGAAGCCCCCACTACCACACCTTTTTTGAGTGTTACAAAACGGAAAGCAAACTGTAAAATGGGCGGGCCCAGAGCTGAGGCAGAGTGCGCGCTGGTTTGCAGAATGAAGTGCAACTAGCGCCTTAAGCCATATAGGAGATCTCGGAATATCCTATTTGACGCTTACTGCGACAAACTGTCAATTGAAATGCACAGGGAACAGGTGCAACGGAACGGCATAGGTCGGCCCACTTCCAGCAGGATTACCGTGCTACAAGATCATAGTTCTCAGCACCTTCCCAAACCAGTTTTATTGGTTTTTCGGCTTTACAGACTTTTTGTTGTTTCTTTTCTAATTTCTTCCTTTTCAAGTTTATTTTCCTTTTTCTGTTTTGTTTTCTATTCTTTTCTTTTTCTTCTTCAAATTTATTTTTATTTTTATTTTAGAAAAAGTTTGATTTTGGAATTTTGAAAATGTTCCTTTTCCAAATTAGGTTCAAAAATTAGAAACAAATTTTGAAGATTTTTTTAAAAAATTCATATTTTCAAAAAGATTCCCTTTTTCGAAATATGTTCACAAATTCAAAATATGTTTGGGAGTTTTCCAAAAATGCTCAATTTGTTTTGAATTCCAAAAAATGTTCCTATTTTTAAATATTGGTTCATGTAACCAATTTTTTTTTGAGAATTTTAAAAATATTCAGGCTTGAAAATTAGTTCAGGGGTTTGCAAATTTGTTCAGAATTTTGAAATTGTTCAAATTTTTTAAAAATAATCGCTTTATAAAAATTGTGCATGTTTATTAAGAAAAGTTTGCGTTTAAAAAAAATTGGTCACAATTGGAAAAGAATGTTCGGGATTCCAAAAATTGTTAACAATTTGAAAATGTTCCTTTTTTGAAAAAGGGAATTAAAAAAACAGCGTTGTTCAAAAAATGTTCAGGATTTGAAACATTACTTAGTTTTTTAAATATTGCTTACATTTTCCAAGAATTGTTCGAATAAAATCAAAAAGTCTTTGGTTCTGGCACTGTGGTTAGTTCTTAGAAATTAGCGTCGCGAATAAGTCACTTACAATCATAGCTCCCTTTCTATCAACAACACTTGATTAATGAGAGGTCCTCTACAGCGCTGCTTTTTCGTGTTTTTTTGCTGTTGTGCTACAGTACCAACGGGAGCTTCCCATCGCGCCCGCTCACTGCATGCACCCGCAATGGATCGGCCTAGTCAGTGTGTATCCTATGCGAAGGAGCGCCCATTTGCCGCAAAGTGCGGCTTATAGGAGCTCCTGAAGATACCTTGCGTGCTTCTGAATCCCCGTTGGCACTCCCGCGGACGGTAGACGGGCCGTGACCCAATAGCTCGTTCTCGGTCTTCGCGCTCGGTCGCCCTTGTCGGCTACAAGACGAACACCTATTTTTTAGATTTATTAAAAACGAACAACTATTGGTTCATGAACGAAACTGACTTCCGATTTTTATAGATAGAAAATGTTTGTGGATTTAAACCAGTTCATTAATTTGAAAAAAAATCGTGAATTTGAAAAAGTGTTCATGGATTTAAAGAGGTTCATGAATTTGAAGAAGTTCATGATTTGAATTGTTCACAGATTTGAAAAAAATGTTCACGAATTTGATTTTCTTTTAGAATTTCTAAAAAAATCACAATTTTAACAAATGTTCAAAAATTTAAAAAAGAGTCCAACTATCAATCAATCCTTGTCGTGGAAAGGTAGGGTTTTCCTCCATCTCTAGATAGGGTTTTCGTGGGCGATGTTACGCGTCCGTTGGTGAACAAAGTTAAAAGATCGGCCGCCTCACTAACCATTGGATGATGAAACTGCGGATGGCTGTGTGATTCGTCATCTTTGCAACAAATGTGTTGCTGTAGTATTTTCTGCAACAAGGTCTAGTTGCAGAATTTTTTTTGTAACAAAAGCCATGTTGTGAAATTTTTTAAAACTATTTTTTTTCTTTTAACCTGTTGTAACAAGAGCCTTTTTGTAACAAGAGTCTCGTTGCAAAAACACGCCGTTGCAGAAGGCAAAGATCGGTCGGGTGAACAGAAGAGTTTCCCTTTCCTCTGTCTCCAGCCAAAGAAAAAGAGTCCAACTATCATCAATCAGTCGTTGTCGTGGCAGATCATAATTTAGTCGGTCGGGTGAATAGGAGGAGTTCGATCGTAATTCATCCGGCAACTAAAGAATCCAGCCGGTAAAAGCAGCCCGGGAGCCGCGCGCGGATCCTGACATTGATCGTCTCTACGCATCGGGCTGATTGTACAAGCTAGCGCTCATGGACAACGCCGGGCTGCTCGCCGCCTGCCTCGCCACCGTCGTGGCCTACCTGCTGGCTGGACATCGATTGGTGGGTGCCGCCGACGCCCGCTGGCGCCATCTTCTCGTCGTCCCCATTGGCCGGAGAGCCAAACATGTGGCGCTCGCCGTCGCGTTGTGCCTTCACGCGGCGGTCCTCCTCTCGTCCTTCACCACTAGCAGGGACCTCGCGATGCACCTCCACGCGACGGAGGCCAAGCTAACGCGCATGGAGCAAATTATCCGTAAGTGTCGAGCCAGAAATTAATCATTATTCTTGTATACTACTGTACGTTAAATCCATCAACTGTATATCCAAATTATTGCATATTACGTCAACGTAGACAATTAACGCAGCAAGGTGCAATAGCTCTTTTCTGAAGATGGCCATCTTTGATAGTACTGTACTAAATTTGCGATCGGTCGCCTGTATTTAGAGAACCAAGAAAAGCACAACATCGAGATGATGAACAGCATAGCAAGTATGTTGTCCAATACTTCCGATGACATAAAGCTGATGACCGAAAAAGTCACCAAAGCCGACAGCACGCCAAACTCTGAATTCACTGTCGCAGTGGAAGATGATCTCCAGCCAGGTGAAACCATGGTAAGGATACCACGCTGTTCCCTCTAATTTTTACAGACAATGGAAGACATCAGAAAGTCAGTGTACACGATGACTTTAGCACGCATACTACTTCTACCGTTACTTGGTTGTACTTACGTTGACTTTACTTCGCTCGTGAATCGTGATCACCTCATGGCAGGATCAGGAGTTTCCCAGCATCTGTGATGACCCGGAGCCGGAGGATGCACCGATACCTGATCAGCAAGACGAAGCAGCGGAACCACACAAGCCATGGAGGTTCATCCCGGTGCCCGAAGGCCACGTCTTTGTGCCGGAATGCGTCGGCGACAAGCTCATAGTGCACATCCGGCCGTCCTCGCAAAGTGGCTCCGAGCACGGCGCCACTGTTGACGCCGACCAACAGCTCCCCTTCATCTGCGGACATCCGGAGGCGGGAACGCCGTCCTTTTACGACGGCGGTCCTTACCGCGCGCTGTTCTGGTCGCTGCCCGAGCCTGACGACCAAGGCCCTAAAAACGTCTTGCCGTTACCATGGCCGCGGTCGGAGATGTGGGTCAGGCTGACGGCGGCGGCGCTGGATGGGACTTGGGCTGTAAACCCCCCGATTATACACGAACAAGCGTTACCTGAGTCCGTGACGCTCTCCACCGACGTGGTGATGTTTTACCGGCCGGACCCGGAGGCTGGGGGAACGAATGTGATGATTGCTGCAACCGAGGATGTGGAGCATGTGTATAGCATGGAGGAACATGGCGCCCCGGCGGTGACCGCTCTCACGCCGCACTCTATTCTTCCCACATATTCTGGTCTTCCCTAGGAGATGCATCTTTTGTCTCAACCATTTATGACCAATAGGAGCTATATATATACTTGGTGCCGTTAGATGTTTTTTTAAGAGGCGTCCGGCTTTAAATTAGGCCAGTACTCGGCACCGGCGCGCCCGCCCAAAGTTTGGGCCAATCGGCCCTAAGCCTTTCAATCCTTCCTGTTGTAGCCGGCCGATCGAGCCTTTCGTACATGTTCCTTCTTCCTCCCGATGCAAAATGTCTTGTAGTGCCTTGTCGCCCTTCCCCCCTGGCCTCCTGCTTGCAGCTCAGCGCGCTGGCTCGCCGTCGCTGCTCGTTGGAGCAGGTCAGCGGTTGCCGCGTTAGTGCCCCATGTGGTTCTGCCCCCTATGCAACAAAACGTGCCGCTGCTTTCAGCAAATAAACTCGCAGGTCGAAGCATTGTCGTTGTTGCTCCATCGTAGCCGGTTGTAGCGACTGTGACTGCCGATCGCAGCTCGCCATGGCCACTTGTAGCTTCTACCGACGCCGATCGTAGCTTGCACAAATGCCGGTTGTACCAAAAGACACATTGTAGCCGCCATCGGGTCCGCATCATCAGCGTGAAACGGTTGTAGCATAGTTGACAGACGCCACACCGGTTTGCAGCTCGGGTGTACATGGTTGTAGCATCTCCACGAACTCATTGTAACGGTTGTAGCACACCATCGCTCTGCTAAAACTCCGGCGAACCCGGGTTGCAACTCTAATGGCCGTGGTTGTAGCTTTTTTGGTGAACGATTGTAGCATTTGTCGACACACCTTGCCGGTTGTAGCTTCGGTATGCACGCATTGTAGCATTCGCGACTCCGTCGTCAGCAAGGCCTCGTGCAGCAACCTCACTTGCCGGTCATGGTTCACCCACCCCATCGCCCTGCCGTTTGCAGCTCCTTCATCTGCCGGTTGTAGCTCCTGCGTAGCCAGATGTAGCTTTTCCGTCCACTGGTTGCAGCTCCAGGGATGCTTACTCCTCCGTCCCCGCCGTCCCGTGGTCCGTCTCTTGTCTCTCTGGCATTGGGGAGCAGGAAGGAAAATGGGCTGACGAGTTCTGTTTGTCGGGGCTGATGGGGGATGAGAAAAGGAGCGGCAGGGGATCGTGCCACCGACATCAATGAGCATATACTGCAGGAGACGGGATGGTTCCGAGGAGGCAGAAGGAAGAAAAAGCAAAGAAAAAAGGAAAAAGGAAAAAGAGATAGTGAGCATGCGTGCTAGCATGTCTCCGCATGTGCTTCAGCCGACGTGTAGACACGAGATTAACCATAAGATTTGATTGATCTGTGTTTGTCGCTGAGGCTATTAACAGTGAGAATATCATACACTAGTATTATGCATATGATACTAGTGTATAATACTATCTTTATAGTGTATTTGCATATGATACTAGTGTATAATACTATCTTTATAGTGTATAATATCATAGATGACTTTATTTATAGCCATGCTTGATACAAAATAGTATATCATTTATTATATACATTATCTACATATGTTACTTCAACCTCTCTCTCTTTTTTAATTCTCTATCACATTATCATGTTTGCTATTTCCGAATGCATGATACCGGCTATGATATCTTTACTATGATTAACATAATGTATTTTCATTGTTCAAAACATATTGGGCTTTCTCAATTTGAGAGGCTGGCAGCGCCTGAGTGCCCTCCGCTACGTGGCCTGTGGGCTACATCTTGTGGTCCTTTCCAATTTTTCTTTCCTGTTTTTTAATTTCTTATAGGTATTTCACGTAAATATTTTGTATTAGTTTTTTTTTAGACTTATGTGTACAGAAACAAGCTTCACTATGCTTGTATACACGTGTACTTATCTAGCTTTTCCCATCTTTATTATTTCTTTTGTCTTCTTTTTTTGTGCATTTACTTTTTACATTGTTTGATTTGCTTGTTTCTTACTTGTATTTATAATTCGATCTATTTTTATCTTTCGTCTTCGAAACATCTAAGCTACTAGACACGCACCTGCAAGTGCCGCCCTCGACTGCAACTACTTGTGTTCACTGCGACTCCAACTTAGTGGTGTTTGGTCGGGGAGGGGCAGTTCCATGTTTGACACTAAAAACGCAACTGCAAGTGTTGCCACTGACTGCAAAACTGCATATATTCAACGTGATTATGAAACAAGGGTGTTTCATCGAGGGGACGAGGGCAGTTGCATGTCTTCCAGTAGGCATGCAATTGCAAGTGTTGACCCCGACTGCAACTGCGTATCTTCAACTGCATATCATACCATATATCAATCTTTACCTCTGGACCATTCCGGAGTTCCTCGTCATGTCCGTGATCTTATCTGGGACTCCGAAAAATATTCGGTCACCAAATCACATAACTCATATAATACTATATCGTCAACGAACGTTAATGATACGTCTCCAACGTATCTATAATTTTTGATTGCTCCATGCTATATTATCTACTGTTTTGGACAATATAGTGCTTTATTATCCACTTTTATATTATTTTTGGGACTAACCTATTAACCGGAGGCCCAACCTAGAATTGCTGTTTTTTTGCCTATTTCAGTGTTTCGAAGAAAAGGAATATCAAACGGAGTCGAAACGGAATGAAACCAACTGGAGAAGTTATTTTTGGAAGGAAAGCTACCGGAAAAACTTGGAGTGCACGTCAGAAAAGGAACGAGGGAGCCACGAGGTAGGGGGGGGCGGCCACCCCCCTAGGGCGCGCCCTCCACCCTCGTGGGCCCCTCGTGGCTCCCCTGACGTATCTCTTTCACCCATATATACCCACGTACCCTAAAACTATCGAAGAGCACAATAGATCGGGAGTTCCACCGACAGAAGCCTCCGTACCCACCGAAAGCCAATCTAGACCCGTTCCAGCACCCTGCCGGAGGGGGCAATCCCTCTCCGGTGGCCATCTTCATCATCCCGGTGCTCTCAATGACAAGGAGGGAGTAGTTCTCCCTTGGGGCCGATGGTATGTACCAGTAGCTATGTGTTTGATCTCTCTCTCTCTCTCTCTCTCTCTCTCGTGTTCTTGAGGTGATACAATCTTGGTGTATCGCGATCTTTGCTATTATAGTTGGATCCTATGATGTTTTCTCCCCCCTCTACTCTCTTGTAATGGATTGGGTTTCCCCTTTTGAAGTTATCTTATCGGATTGAGTCTTTAAAGATTTGAGAACACTTGATGTATGTCTTGCCGTGCGTATCTGTGGTGACAATGGGATATCACGTGATTCACTTGATGTATGTTTTGGTGATCAACTTGCGGGTTCCGCCCATGAACCTATGCATAGGGGTTGGCACACGTTTTCGTCGTGATTCTTCGGTAGAAACTTTGGGGCACTCTTTGAGGTCCTATGTGTTGGTTGAATAGATGAATCTGAGATTATGTGATGCATATCATATAATCATGCCCACGGATACTTGAGGTGACATTGGAGTATCTAGGTGACATTAGGGTTTTGGTTGATTTGTGTCTTAAGGTGTTATTCTAGTACGAACTCTAGGGCTGTTTGTGGCACTTATAGGAATAGCCCAACGGATTGATTGGAAAGAATAACTTTGAGGTGGTTTCGTACCCTACCATAATCTCTTCATTCGTTCTCCGCTATTAGTGACTTTGGAGTGACTCTTTGTTGCATGTTGAGGGATAGTTATGTGATCCAATTATGTTATTATTGTTGAGGGAACTTACACTAGCGAAAGTATGAACCCTAGGCCTTGTTTACTAGCATTGCAATACCGTTTGCGCTCACTTTTATCATTAGTTACCTTGCTGTTTTTATATTTTCAGATTACAAAAACCTTTATCTACCATCCATATACCACTTGTAGCACCATCTCTTCGCCGAACTAGTGCACCTATACAATTTACCATTGTATTGTGTGTGTTGGGGACACAAGAGACTCTTTGTTATTTGGTTGCAGGGTTGCTTGAGAGAGACCATCTTCATCCTATGCCTCCTATGGATTGATAAACCTTAGGTCATCCACTTGAGGGAAAGTTGCTACTGTCCTACAAACCTCTGCACTTGGAGGCCCATCAACGTCTACAAGAAGAAGGTTGTGTAGTAGACATCAAGCTCTTTTCTGGCGCCGTTGCCGGGGAGGTTAGCGCTTGAAGGTATATCTTTAGATCTTGCAATCGAGTCTTTTAGTTTCTTGTTTTATCACTAGTTTAGTTTATAAAAGAAAACTATAAAAATATGGAATTGAGTTTGTCTCATACGCTTCATCTTTTTAATATCTTTCGTGAGTATGATGGAAAGGAAAATTGTGCTCAAGTGCTAGAGGAAGAAGTCTATAAAATGTCTGGCACTAAATCTTTGAATGATGAGCATGATTGCAATGTTGTTAGTATGAATTCTTTGAATATCCATGATACCAATGATGATTGCACTAGTTATGATGAAACTGTCTCCTATAAACATGTCAATTTTTGTGGAGTGCATTGGTTTTGCAAGTATACACCAAATAGGGAAGATAGATATTGCAAGAGGCATAAGTATTTAGAAACTAAATTGTTGCAAGAAAATCTTGATGATTGTGCTGAAATATTCAATATTTTTTGCACCCCTTGTGAACTTTGCAATGAACATGGTCATTTAAATATCCAATGCAAATTGTTTCATGACCGAATCGTATCCAAAAATTGTGATAATTTGATTACTGTCGGTGTCAAAACCGGCGGATCTCGGGTAGGGGGTCCCGAACTGTGCGTCTAGGCCGGATGGTAACAGGAGGCAAGGGGCACGAAGTTTTACCTAGGTTCGGGCCCTCTTGATGGAGGTAAAACCCTACGTCCTGCTTGATTAATATTGATAATATGGGTAGTACAAGAGTAGATCTACCACGAGATCGGAGAGGCTAAACCCTAGAAGCTAGCCCATGGTATGATTTTTGTGTGTGAATGTGTTGTCCTACGGACTAAAACCCTCCGGTTTATATAGACACCGGATAGGGTTAGGGTTACATAGAGTCGGTTACAATGGTAGGGGATCTACATATCCGT